TTAAAGAAGCTGCAAATTGTGCAAGTGTTTGACTTGACCGGATTTCTACTGGTAACTTATTCCAGAAGCATGCATAGTGTGTGACAAAGAAAGTTGACTTCGATATACCTGACGTCCTCGAAATCATTATTACAAAATCCTGATTGTATGAAATTTTGTAATGTTGGGTAACTTCATGTTTAATTCACCTTAACCATAAGTGATCCACTTCCCACATATCTGACTTTGTAAGATAGGTTGGGCGTCAGTCTTGTAAAAAGTTGTTGTACTTCCGCAACTTTCTTTCGGTCTTTGAAATTAGATATAATAGGGCAGTATGCCAATAAGGGACTGGCACATACCTTATAAAGAGTTACATAGGATGCTTTTAAATTAAAATTACGGTTGATTAATCTACTAAGCCTACGGGTTTTGGAGGCTTGGGATGTAGACTGTCCGGTGAATGAAAAACGTTTGGAATATTTCACTTCTAAGTTGCAAATGCTGCTTAGCTGTTTATATTCCAACTTCTCCAGTTGCAATCTCATCTGTGGACTGAGCGTGCTGAAATACATGTTCCTAAATATTTCGGTATAAAGGGACGAAAACTATGCATCACACCAGTCTTGGGTTTATTCAGCTGACATTTAAACTGGGACGTGGTTCGAATGCATATACCACCTTAAGGTCGTCAGCAAACAGAAAAGTTTTTCAACATTCAGGGCAATCGCATATGTCGTCAACATACATGATGGACAGTAGAGGATCGATGCCTGAGCCTTGGAGGATACTAATTGTAATGTTCTGATGATCGGAGAAGTGTTTCCCCATTTTCACTTCCTTGGCTCTATCTTTTAAGATGGATGAGATCCATTTAGAAACTTTACCTCCTATACCGAAAGTCTTTAATTTGGATATGAGAGAAGAGTTTTGTGCTTTATCAAACGCTTCAGTCAAGTCAAAGTAAGGAGTAAAAACTAGTTTCCCCCCACTCCTATTGTTCACTTTGAAGTATTTCAGGTGACAGGCTATTCATGACGGTTTGGAAACAAACTCATGTTGTGAAGATATAATCAATTGGTGCTTATCTAGATGAATGCCAATCGCTTTCTCCAAAGTTTTAGATAAGATGGAAGTATGCTCAATCAGGTGACAGTTGTTAACATCTAGTCTGGACCCCTTTTCAAAGTAAGGGATGATGTATGTAGTTTTCCATTGACAAGGGAAAATGCCTGGATCAAAGGACATATTTAATATTTTGGTAAGCAGGATGTGAATGTCAGATCCCCATATTTGATTGAATTAGCCAGCATTTCATAATGACGACTTCCGTGGGAAGGTTTCAATGAACTTATTGGATCTTTCACAATACTCGGCCTGCGTTCATTCTGACCACATTTAGTGAATGCCCGAGCAAATGTATTGCTAAGCAGCTCAGATTGTTCTGTCAGGTCTCTTATAAGTGTATCACTGACTTTTAGGACAGTAGGACCATTAGAGTGAGTACAGAGTTTCTTCCTTAGAGTTGCTGTTAAAAAGCTATTTTAATTCGTAAATTGGAACACCCTCGTTCAGCTCCTTACTATTTGTTTGTTCAAAGCTTTTAATATTACTAAAAACCTGTTGAATGTTGAGGATGGTTGAAAAGTCATGTTGAACAAAGAACGTTTTTCGCAACCCCCTCACTTCAGACTTGAATTTGATAATAATATAATCACAATAAGGGACGTATGGTTGTTTTGTTATAATTAGGGTGATTAAGTCCAAACAGGTCTTGAGATTAAACTGAAGGAAATCTATCGTAGTATTAACGTCACTGAATGAAAATACACATCTTAACTGAGACCAAGTGTTGGAACGGCTTCCAGGAACTGCAACAGAGCCTCCAGAGGCCCTTAAAGGGCCGAAGAGTCTGCATCCAATAAGAATGTGACGGTATTTCATGGAATATCAGCGTGGCACGCCACTATTGGACTGTGGCATAACCTGACTTCGTGGATTGTCTGACGTACGATGTTGGCATAACAAACGCTAATATCCCGAAATACTCATGATTTTCTGTAGGTCTTGATTTTTGTCCAACAAGCACTTCTTCAGCTTTCTTTTGTCTTCTGATTCGCGACTGTGGGGTTCGATACGTTCGAGTGTCGTAGTTGTATACCACATTATGCGTTAATCAAGTAGCGAACATGAGACCACGTAGCAGAATATCGGTGTAGGACCAGTCAGTGTTTGCAAAGTTTCTGATAGAATCTATGAAAACATTTGTTCCATTAGAAGTGCAAGAGCACTTTCGGGCAATGCGTTCACAGTCTACTTTGTGATTAATGCCTGAAAATTCAAGACTTGTGTATTCAGTATATGTCGAAGCACCGTGTATCAATATTAAGTCTAGTAGGCTGATATTTTCGGTAAGCTTGTTGAATATCTGTGTTCAACTGTTTGTTTCTACTACTTTGATGAATTTTTCAACGTGAGAATGGCCACGTAACGAATTCCAGCTAACAGACGGTATATTGAACTCACAACTTATTATTTTAGCTACAGGTAATGACAATAGGTATGTGGATACTTGATTCAGATATGCATCCACAGCGCGAGCGGCATTTGTTGGTCTATAGATGCAAACTTTTATAAGATGCTTCTGGGCACAATTATCTATAGTTATGAATATGGCGTCATCTAACAGTTCATAACCCTCTAGGAAGATTAAAGTTGACAGAATATCAGATCGCACATATATTATACAGCCTCCACCTTTGGCTGAATTTCGATCTTTGTGGTACATTTTAAAACCATTTACAAACAGTATTAAATCAAAAATATCAGTCATCTACCAGGTCTCAGTTATTAGAATACAAAATGGATTGACCAAGTAAGCTAGAAATCTAAGATTAGCTGTCTTATTGCTCAGAGGGTGTGAATTAAAAAAACAATAGAAAGCTGAAACGCGGCTCGGCAACAGAAACATTGCGAGAGATCATTAGTCAGCCGATCATTGACGAGAGTCTGTTGAGACAGATCCTCTTGTCAAAGCTTCCCCGACAGGTGCAGGCAGTGTGTGTCATTTCAAAATAAGGCTGTAGATGAACTGGTTGCACCTGCCGATCAGTTGGCAAGAACGTTCAACACTGAAGCTTTTTCTGTCCAACAAAAGTGCAAAACAACGTCACAGGGTCGGCGAAATGTCACTGAGCTTCAGCCAAGTCATCCAGCAGTCGGGTGACTGAATGTCGAACAGTCGATCGATCCATGTCAAGTTCAAGGACAACCAACGTGTATTAATCAATTGAAATTTGTGGACTGGCTGATGTGGTGATGGTTACACTCTCTTTGTGCTTACTCTTACTAAAATATTCCTGTAATAATGACCTTTGTGTTACACGGTTCTCAAATCGGTCGTAGTACCTTTATGCGACGGAAGGTAAACCATGTCAATTGTTGACCGCGAGATGTGACATCGAAGTTAACTGTTTGTCACGCCGCCCCTGTTTAACTCGAGTAGACCTTCAATCATTCGAAAAAAATCATCTACGTCAGTGATCTACAAATGTGATAAGTTTTCCTTACGAGTGTCATTACGATTGTGATATGGTGGGAAATATTACTGACATAATCATTAATAATTCTAGACTTTAGTGTGAAGGTGGAGTGACCAGCACTCTGATGTTTTTTGTCAGCCTGCATTGTAGAAGGTTGGTTACGCTTAATACTTCCATCACTTTTGCTACTTAGATGTGTCGACAGTAAGTTATAAACATCAGCGGGCGGGGGTTTGTTCACAGTTTTTAAAACACCCATAGAGCTTGAATCTTATGTATTTCCTTTTTTTGATGTCGTGGATTCTCTCTTCTCAAACTTCTTTACTAGAGCTGTAGAGTTTCTTCGTCTTTCTGAGATGAATTCAAGTTCACTCGGACTATATTTTTCAATACCTTTAGGACTATATTTTACGTGGTTAGGTCTAGTCGGATATATGCCGTTACACAGCTCACATTCAAGTACTTTACTGAACAAAGAGCCTGGGTTAGAATTGAAAATGTACGTATATTTTCTGGTGTCAATTGGAATCCGTATCTTATTCAGAGATTTCTGATCTTCAGACTCCCCTAGGTCTACGGTGTTTTTGCTTATGAGGTGAACCTATGTGTTCAAGTTATTTATTCATAGACCTTCAAGGAAATAGTTATCATGTCTTTATGTACGGTACGTACATCCCGAAGATGTTATTTAAAATTCCGTTTTTATTTGTTTAGAGTCTATAAAAGCATATATATTCCTGGACGTTAAAAAGTTTTAAATGCGGTAGATTAATTAGCTCTTCTTATTGTGATATTCGGAGTTGGAAAACGCTCTTGTCCGTGACGCCCTAATTATCGAAAGATACAAACCTGTTCAGATAAGAAGTCAGGGATGAATGATTTTGAGGATATATTTGGGAAGTTGCATATATGCTGAGGTGCGTTTGATTTAATCTGGCTAGTATTTGCGTGGGATGAGTAGTACGAATTACTAGTGTGGATGCATGACCGAGCGTCTTCAGCCAGGGTATGTTCAGTAAAACTACAAAGGTAAGCATCAATGCCGAAGACCTAGTGAACTATTTATTTCGGGGATTTATTTACCTCTATATATCCTTTCATAATTGTATGTTCTACATTCACACTGAGTAGTCTGTTCTTATTTTCGCTGTTTCTACTATTTTCTAGCTTCCTTTAAGCACAATCACTTTATCAATGACAAGTAAGTAAAGTAAATTCAAACTAGACGAGAACTGATTTATTTGGGTTCTGCTCAGGAACATCTGATGCCCTCCGAGTCTAAACAAAGGTTTGAGTATATTATGAATAAATAATAAAGTTAGTTGTGGTCATGAAGCTGGTACATATGAGAGTTGACTTTCTAGCTGGTTTCATTTTTGAAGCCTGTGTTTAACTTCATCGGATTTCACGTGACCTTCCTGAAAAAGTTATATAACCAATTTGAAGTTCTAACGTCAATAGCGTGAGGACTACGTTCTTATGGTAATTCGTCTTTTGTTCCTAAGTTCTCTTTTAAATGTAGGAAGAAAAAGTTCGAAACCTAATTCTTGGGTGCATCTCAGTTTTGGGAGGCGTTTTAATCCATTTCGCCTTTGGTTTCTTCTATAGTACTGGTATGTTTTACCTACTTTTACTACCTTCTCAGCTAACATTGTACCCTATATTATTAGTTACATCGTAGTACGGGTTGACCCGGAATTGCCAAATACATCATCAGTTTGGATATCTGGTATTGCTTTGGCAATGCAGGGCGTTTCTATGCCATTTGGTGGATTGGTTGCCAGGAAGTGGGGCTTTCGTATTGTTGTTGCTGTCAGTTGTTTACTTGATAGGTAAGAGTTTTGTTCATTCAGTTCGTTGTGTGCTCTTACTTTGTGCTTTACTGTAGTTACTTTACATGAAGGATGTTGAATTAGAAATCAAGCAAATGCATATTGCATTAACCCATACATTTTCCGTTAGTCTTAGCTATTATAGCTTTTTATTCACGTTTGAGGGCCTTGCCAACTTATCCTATAGCGTGAAGGTTTGGATTAAACATTTTCACACGTTTACCAGAAGGTATTCCAAACACGTTGAACGCTTGACTTAAATCCACTTACGTCAATTAAGCCTCACTTGTTGCTATGGGGTTCTTTTCGTCATAGTAAGACTTAGCATTTATATTCGAGATTGTTACGATGTCTCTCTACATTATTATTTGTTTGGTACAGATAAACACGGAAATAAATATTCGCCACACGAATAAGAAAATGAGGTTGTGATGGAATAGAGAAAGGATAGGGAGTATAATCAAGTGAACAAGTAAAGAAAAACAAATGAACAAGAATAAACTATAATGGAAGAAACAAGTCAGTTAAAAAATACAGCTAGGAAGAATTCTCATTTAACTAAGCTCACCTTTATTCTGATTCATATCTGGCAGTGTCTCAAGCTACTAATTTTACCCCGAGTCCATGCTACAAATTGATTATCCCTCCGCATTTTCCAACTAGTCCCAGAGTCGACGGACAAACTACGATGTGAAAGTCTCTGAGTTTACATTCGCACCTCATTTCCAGGATATTGAAGTTGATGTTTCAAGATGATGACACTGATCGAGTTATCCTGACTGTTGTAGAACGCATTAGCAAACCACCACTTTACTAACACATTGCTGTTAATGATCTTTAGAAACCCTTCAGAGGTATCAATCTCTGAACACAGCGACTCATTTAGCACCTTTAATTGGGTGAGGCCATGATTTACGACATAGAGCAGGATTGCTCTCACCGATAAGATGTAACCCTGAACTTTTAAAACCAGACTAATATCAAGATGGTACCAAAGATGATTTATATCGGGATAAGCCACAAATACATATTTAACTAAGCACACGAACTTTTTCACTAGTTCTAATAGGCCACGACAACACTCCTTCCGATTGAAGGCAAGGGGCAAAATTTCACTGCTGGTGGATTCAGACGGATTTCCGAATGACCTTACTGATCATTAATGAACTTAATTTATTATTTCAAAATATTTTGAAAGATCAGAAAGTGAAAGATCCAGTTTCGTTCTCCAAAATATCTTTCATAGACCTACATCAAAACTTATTGTTTGTACTTGTATCCTCAAATAGAAACATTTTAATTTTATTTAGTCTTAAAATCGCAGATTTGAGATGAAATGTTAGAATAAATCATTTTATTTTTTAGATTAAAAACGCTTTTTTGGACTGCCTATTTGATCTTCTACATCAAATCACTCAATTTAAAAATTTCAGTGTATTGATTTGAGCAAATATTTAGTTTAAACTGATGAGTTTCTTATCAGGGGCGGACTCAATTTTCAATATTATACAATTTATTTATTTTGAAAAAAAAAACAATGTAAATGTGTTATGGTGTTTTCGTTTTCTTAATTACAGCATTAGTATTTTTCTGACTTACGTCACTGTACAGAGGTCCTTTCCTGGAGTCATCATTACGTATTCTGTGCTGCAAGGGTTGGGTCTGGGTTTTGGCTATTCCGTAGTATTGTCTGTGGCCGCAACGGTAAGAAAGTAAATTGTCTACGTTTCAAAGTTTTTCATAAAAGTGATAATGTTTTATCTGGCCATGATCACTTAAAGGCTTTGGACAGTAAAATTATTTGTTGCTAAAGTCAATTCAGCTTTGTGTTATTGTAAACAGTAAATCATAGAGCTCACCAAAGTGAGTCTGGTTTTCATATATGGTAACAAATGTGTGAGATAAGATTTGAACTAATCTATGAGATAAATTTTATTCTTGGGATCAGATTACTTAATATTTACAACATCGTTCATTTTTATTACACGTTCTAAAATGTAATATTTTAGTGCAAACATGAAGTTATTTTTTCATCGTTATTTTTAACAAATTTTAATATAACTTGAGACTTCAGAATGTATATCCCATAGATTAAGAAATAAGACTGTGAAGGAATAAAGATAGTGGATTCAAATTATCAAAATAAGTAAAAAAGAATAGTATATGATGAAAAATAAGGTCCTCTTACTCATAATAAATATAAATGGGAATTATAAAACGATCTTCTCTGACTTTTATTGTAAACTACGTTGGGTAATTTCTCAAGCCATTGAGACACACAGTCATCAAGACTCCAGCTGGAGATTCCTAATAGATCCATCGGTGCCAGTACTAGACAGCTTGTTCATACGTAGACGCCATATCATAATCTAACCACCTCTACTTTTTTCAATTAGTCCCTGAGTCGGCAATCGGTGCGAGAGGTGGGAGCTGCTGGAGTAATATTGTCAACACATTTACAAGCCATAGAAGCCGGTGTTTTAATATTGTAACACTAACGAACTTTTTATCACTGCTCTCTATCACATTGTGCAGAATCATAAAATTGTTTACATCGTGTTGCCACAGTGTTATTAATCCTTCGAAAATAACAATAATCAAACACAATCACCTTTCATAGTAATCAAGTTTCTCAAGTATAATATAAAATTGTCCACACCACCGAGTTGTAGATCCAATATTTTACAACCAGACTAACATCATGGTGGTGCCGGAAAATGACGTTGATTGCCACAAGCCATTTTGGTTTTCGCCATATGTGGATTGATCTCAACTGTCACTCAACCACAAGCTCTCACATTCAGGTTTCAATTTTAGTACTTAAGCATTTATTTAGTATGTTTATGGAAGTGAATTTAGTTTGTAGGCACGATTCTAGTTTTAAAAGTCTTTGTCATACTAGATTATATGGTGTTTTGATACTTATTCGTTTTTGATTCCATTTATTCATTTGTACAAAAACCATGTAATTACTGAATAATAGTGGTTTCCAAAACGACGTGGTCTCGTAGTTGGTGTGATTGTTGGTGGCTTTGGCTTAGGAGCCCTGGTGTTCACTCCGATCGAAACTGCTTTAATAAATCCAAGCAATATCCCTGTTGACCCGAAAACAAGGTATTATTTACTTCTAGTTCTTTTTGGTTAAAATTTACATCAAGTAATCAGTTTTTTCATCTGTATGCTGTCAAAGCCAATATCATTATGATAAATCCTTAAGCACTACACACATATTGTGACTATATTTTTAAATCTTTATAAATGTAGAATTTTCTTACTAAAAGCCTAGCTTTATTTATTGTTCCTAATAGCGCGTTCTTGGACTATTACTTTGAAACGAATTCCTTCATTTTGAACAGTTAAATAACCTAGAACTTGCAGAGTACTTACAAATTGTCATTTAGTTTGTAGTCGGAAACTTGAGTTTTGTGCATCCATTTTGTACATGTACCTTGTAGATGGAAATTAACTATTTATTAGATACTTCGCACAAGACATTATTGTACTACGTACATGATTGGTAATATTTATCAGGAAAGTCTTAATTTTTTATTTATTTAGGGTTATTACAAAGCAAATGACTAAGTAGTAAGTATGTAAAATTCAGATGTTGAGGCAGATTTAGAAGTATGAAGTTTTCACCTAGTCGAGTTGCAAAAATTTCGTTTCAGACCGATAGAGTATATTTTTGATGATCTTATTAGAGAGAATGACGTTTGCTTTCATTATACTCTGTCTATTACAATGACATAATTCCTACATTTAATCTATTGGGTTAAAATCTTAAGACAAAAACCCTAGAAACGGCTCCTCAAAGCACCCATTTGTGGTGATTTCGAGTGACAACTTGGACCGATGAGTATATGTGACTGGTCCAACGTTGTACCTGAATGACTGATTTTGAGACCCTGGTAGCAACAAAGACCGCAATCAGGAGATTTTATGGAGAGTACTCACAACCACCTAAGAAATGCTATACAGATTTCACTGATTCACTGTTTTGCAAGCATCATGATGAAACGTTTTACTGCTGTATTTGAATACGGTTTATGTCATGTTTTAAATTCATAATTCAACAAATACATCTATTGATGCATTTCAGTCGCTTTGAGTTTGCACCAGTTGTTTTATAAGATTGTTCTCCATCGTCGAACTTGATTCAAACATTTTGATACTGCCTGTCCTGTTCAGGTTTACCTGACAGCAAACACTTTAGGGGAGGGGGAATCGAACACACGTCGATTGTCAGACGAGGTAGTGGCTACTGACAGTTTTTGTGTTGCGTCTATGCAACTTGTGATGAGAAGCTTTTATTGTCGCCATCATAACTTTCAGTGTCAACGTTTCTATCACCTTTTAAATACAGACTCAGACAATGTTGGAGTCCGATTATGGTAATGTTGGTGTGTAACAGGCCTTGTATTTCAGTGGTCAAAAGCGAATTGAATCAGTGTTAATAAATGATTCAAATTAACGTCGAATGTAGCTGGATCAAAGATTATCTCCACATCCACTTGACAGAGCAGACAGGTAATAGCTAAAATTCTGTGATAAAGAAGAGAAAAACCATCTAGGTTTGTCAATTAACTTTGTAAGCACACAATGTATTTGGGTGAATAATATGAGCATCTAAGTTTGTGAGTAACGTTTATGAGCGGATACTCAAACTTTTATGATGACTTCAAGGTGTGGTTGTCACAGCATTCAACCGAAATGTAAAACTTGGAATTCGGGACCGTTCATTCAAACCAATGTTATTTTATTTCATAAAAACACTTTTTTAAAGTGAAGTACAGTAATGTCTATAGATACTATCTACTTATTCATAACATAATAGCTTGGTGAGATGTGGTACCAAGAAATACACCACACAAAATAAGATAAGGAAAGTCGTGTTAGCCGAATTTTCAGTATACTGTCAGCAGACATCTGTTTTGAAGATGAATACAATCATCACTTTCTTGCAGTGGAGTAATCTCAGGTTGCCATACCTTTTCTAAACCACACAGTCAATTCTTAGACGAGAAGAACACCATACATTATTGAAGAAAGTGGAAGTAAGTTGTTGGTGTCAGGTATCAAGTGGAGTTTATTTGAAACCTGAGCTTTAGTGAGTCTGCTGATGTTCTTCATTCTAAAATTATAGGGTAGTTTGGTTTAGGATTTTAATACGGTCAACCAAGTAAAACCTCAGCTGGAGTACGTTACTTGAAATCGCGAACGCTCTTGAATGTTGCTAACTGTCGTTCTATTAACCTTACAGATTTTCTAATTGAATCCAGTTGAATAATCGGAGTTTGCTTCCGAACCAATATTTGCTGTCCCTATGCCTCATTCCAGAGGCCTCAACTGACTTTCGCGAACGTTTCTCAAGTCATTAATTAGTCACAATCTTGCATTTACAACCTACTGACTGTTGGAAGGTGAAGATGCTATAAAGTGTATACTCAAATGTTGCACCTATAAATGTGGCGTTCTATCAAATCATAAGTGGTTCCAATCAGAACTCACTTACCCAGGTGCAAGTTCAGATGGTTTACTCTTTTTGACCAGCTGATAGCTAGTCTGATATTTATCTCAACTGAATACTTGATAAGAGTGCTAGTTGCAACCATTTTACGTCCATCAATCTGTTTGGGATCACCACCAAAATACACAAGTGGTGTCGCACATTGTAGAATATAGTCAGAACTCAGGGCAGTGTGCACAATGGAGCACGGATTTATTTGGTTATATTTAACGAGCTCAATGTAAGAGACGAAAACTTGTGAGCATGCTCTCTCACAGTAGAATTTTTATTCTGGATTACTGTCCTTCATGTGGAGACTCTTATGCTCTTCAAATACCTAAACTAAATAAAGTAGATGGTTGTGATTGACGACTTTTACTACTAAACCTTTGATCTAAATGTCTGATCCACAAAGTTGTTGTTCAACGCTAGCCGATAGTTAACGCCTTACTATATGACATTCGCTTGTTGAAAGTACTGGAGAAAATTTATGCTGCTTTCGAAATGTGGATATTACCAATTCTCCTATGTATACTTATTACATCAGCTAACCAATTTAAAGGCTTTGATGTACGTTTTCACATACTTTTATAGGAACACTGCTTTCCCATTGAGTGAGAGGGATCTCTATCCACAAGGTTAGAATCGGGTGATTATCGGGAGTAGGTCCTATCTTTTGTAACTCATACCATGAGTTCTGTACATTGACTATAACAACATGTATACATTTCGTGCACATCTTTTTTTCTCATTTAATTTTCTACAGGCATTTTACGCATCCTGATATCCTTGATCGGGTTCCAGTTGCGTTTTTGATTCTTGGTGGTATTCTTCTTGCATTACAAGTAATTGGATTTATATTATTGCGTCCAAAACCACTTGAAAGTGTAAGTAATGAAATAAGTACTTTTCATTCATTTTGATATTAACTTACAGTACATTTTAACTTACTCATTTTATTTACATCTTAAAATCATCGAAAGTACTTTTAACATGATTTATTTGATTCATGGTAAAAAAGAACGATTTTTGGGCGTTCGAGTGAATTCGTAATAAATAATAATACCCTTTTTTCTTTATAAAAAATACCACCAACCAACAGTCTTCCTACAAATCGGATGAAAAAGTTTTGGCAGTTCATTTGTGACTGTATAAGTGTATGTGTTTAAGAGGTTTCAGTTAAAATATATACTTATCTCTTGGACGATAATTATTGACTGAACTAGCATGCCTGCATATGTATAGTAAACAATACACTAATGGATTCGTATCACACAACTAGTTTGGTAATATCAATGATTAATTTGTAGTGGATGGAGGTTTTAGTTTCGAATAAAAAATTCTGCTGATTAACATGGTAAGTTCTGTTACTTTGCTTTATATTAGTATATTTATAATATCCAACATAAACTCAAGTAAATTTCTCATCACTCACTCCCTATAATACATTAAATAATTTGTATTAACTTCCTTTCGACTAGACACAAGATCGAGACACAGAACTGGTTGTGCGGAATAGAATAAATTCTGATCCTAATCCAGTTATTGTAAGTTTGCTACGCATTTTTCTAAATTTAATTTAATGAATAATGTTCTGTGTATTGTTTTCTCGGAATTTTCCATACATTTTAAACTACAAATGTCACTTGTGTAATGTACAGTTATATTTTACAAATAATATATGATTTCATTATTATATGATGCTTTTCATATATAAAACATTATTGAAATAAAGACTTTCAATAGGAAAATTAAGTGTTACTTACTGTTTCATTTTACTGATTAAATTAAAAGGTCTCACAAAAATGAGGTTACGGAACGTGATAATGATTTTTTTTCATGTATTTTACCTTTCATTTATTATCTGAAATTTAAAATATAGTTGCATATATCATAATCAAAGCGGACCACATCTATATCGTTAGTAATTGTCATTACCAAGGTTTGACTTGATAGTCTCAAATAAATCATGCATTGTGTAAGTTGATAATAAATATTATTATTACAGTTTAACAACTTTTCCATGAATTTTGTTAAAAATATAGAAACAGAAATGTCTTTTTATTGAATAATAATAAATCTAATGAATTATCATAGGTTTGTATTGTGGTTTTGTTATTTATTAATGAGTGTTCAATGTAAATTGTTTAATAATGTATGAAAATCAGTTATATTATGTGTACATTAACCTAACATTTTCAATGATTTCCTCAGAGAGAATATACACAAGAGGAACCAAACTTGTGAGTGTGTTATTAATAATACACAGCTCTAGTTATTAGTCATTCTTGCCCTAACCAAACAGCTCTCAATTTATTTCTTAAGTTCACTGTTTTCTTTTATAAAGCTCTGTGAATGAATTACTTGTTGTGCTTTGATTCTTTTATGGTTACTACTTTAAATGTTGTGCCTTAATACAATATTCATATAATAGCGTTGATTGCAGAACTTTTTACTGTTTTTTTTCAAATAAATAGTAAATTGTACACTTAACTGAAAATATCTAGAGTGGCACCACGAAATAAGTCCTTGTGATTAATATATTTTGTAATGGTCTAAGATATCGGTTTCCGTGTGGAGCTACACCTAAGGTGATGCTTGGATCTGAAGCTGTACCTATGAAAATTGAAATCTAGTAAACAGTGAAACACTAAGAACATTTACAATCTACTAGTCAATGCTTAGAAATCATATAATAGAATAAGTGTACAGTACCAATTTAACTCCCAGATTTTTCTATTTCTTTTTTAGGGACGTTTGCGTTCAACCCAAACAATTGTTTCATTATATAGACTTTTATCTTTTATGGTTTGTAATGTTCTGTGACATTATACCAATCACTATAATAACATCGGCTTATAAAGTTAGTTGATTAAAGTCTTATTATTCATCAAGTAGAGTTTAATCATTATTTTTTAATTTCTTCTATTAATCTTTCTTATATATTCATTGTAGATACTGCTAAATAATAGAAAAGCATACCATTCTTCGTATCCATCCTTTAAACTTACACATTATTTGTACCTCACCATCGTTATACACCTATAAATATTTTGGCGTGTACAAAGGGACTAAAGTACTCTCGTTTACTTTATTTGGTTTGTAGCCGGAGAGTTTTTCAAGTCAATTTTTCTAATTCTGTTGTTCTGTGTTGCCGTAAATCTGTTATATTTCGGGTTCCGCGTGCGGGATCATGGATGCGCACTGCTGAGAGGTCCCGTGCTAAGACGAAACGGCCGTCCAGTTTTTTCATGGTGATCTAGCTTAAATCGACTCATGAATTCGACTATTAAATTGCTACAATTTCCATAAACCCCCATCCTGAATAAAAATAAATGACAAAAGTATAAGGATTGAAGTTGTGCATTGTTTATCTGTTTACTTTGAGTTAATTCATTTTATTTTGCTTCAGATTCATATTTGTGAAGCTGAATATCCTCTTAACGGAGTGACGAATTTATGTTTATTCTTATACTTCTTGAAATATTTTATTTTCATTGGTCTTACAGAAGTTGGTGGTTCCTCCTAGTGTTAACTTCTTTAGCTCCACTCATTATTGTTTTATAAATGAGATTTTAAGTCATAAAATATTAATAATATTTTGACCAAACATTTCAAGATGCAGTTGCTGCATATCTACAGAAAAGAGCTATTGAAAATTTTCTATTAAAATCTGTAAAAATCTGTTAGCAAGATCCAGATCTGATCAAAGGATATTTCAAAGAGGACGCGCAAAAGCCCGCTGATTGGTCCACTTTCAAACGAGCGACGCTAGTGGATAACTGGAATCTGCAATAACTTAGACTGACTTGTTGTTTTTCATAGAATGTCTTAACTTTCTCTCCAAGTTGTATTGTGATTTTGAAACCAGTCGAGTTGTCAGAGTCTGAGGAATACTAGGTCGAATAATCTAATCTAAATAGGTTCTGTATGCAAATAAACCACTCGAGAAGACAGATGTAACTTTGTGGAGCAGAAGTCCGGGCTCCTTAAAAGTTGCTAAACTGTTATTGCTCGTCTTAAATTATTTTTCTATATCTCCAATGGTTGTTTTTTACAATTATGAAATAGGAACAAATGAAGTAATGGATTGATGGTGCCTTGAATAACCGTATTCACCTAATAAAAAATACTGTTTATGTATCTCAAAACTAATTAGTTATAAGCCCTAAGTAAATCTATTATACGAGAAATCCTCAACTAGTAATTTACAACTCACAGTACTTACTTTTCAAGTTGTGTCAATTTTCTTTTATTCTTATTCGTTTAGCTGTTTGGTGCTCAGTATATTGATGATGACCAATTCTTATCCATTGTGGCTACATTTTCATCTCTTTTCAATGCCGGTGGTCGTGTTATTTGGGGTGCCATTGTTGATCGATTATCCTTTAAGGTATGCAATAGAGGTATTACTATCTGGAATATTTTATCAGCAACTGTTTGTAAATTATTGTTAGGAGAAAAATCACGTTTAAATCTACTGGCCTCGGTTTACGGGACCGGAGATTTAGCTGTGTAGTTTTGAATTTCTTAACTAAAACATTCGTTTCCGTGTTTAATCATCAACTAATTGTTATAATAGTCGATTATCTACTAAGATTTAATGTGCGAAGACCAAACGTTGAAGCATTTTTTATAGTCTGGTATTAACAAAGCCAGAATGACTGTATCATAAAGCGCAACTTGTTTCCTTCATGCAACAAAACATAGTCTGAGGTAAAATGGCTGCTGTAGTCTGTTATTTGAAAGTAACGTATGTTATGTTAAGTCTTCAGTTATCATAACATTTATTTATTTTAATTATTGAGATCACCAAACAAAAAATTAAGAATGATGACAACACCAATCTCAGAGTTCAACTGAAAAAAAAAACAATTTCACACTATGCTTGCAGTTTGGTAGGGTTTTGGGGTTTCTTCCCAAACTATTTAATAAACTTGGTTAACCAATCTTGGCTAATGTTTTTGAATCTAAAAGTTAGTTACATATATTAAGTATCATCCTTTTGTGTTTCAGTCATTCGACAAACAAGTTTTTCTGCCAACTTAAATGTTAATCAAATGAAGTGATATTATTATCACAGTGGGGATTTATTCAGAATTGTAGTGCTAAAAATTAACTTCACTAGACTTTATAAACTAATATGTATTTTTATTTGAAAACTTGGGATAACACCTTAATACCTTGGCGATATATTTCAGATACCAATGATGATCATGCTTGTAATTTGGGCAATAGTGCTATTATCATTCCCACATATTGGGTCACTGTCAATTGTTGGATTAAAAGTTATGTATGCTATTTGGGTATTCATTTTGTTTTTTTCGCTGAGTGGTGTTTTCGTCATTCAACCTGCGGCTACTGGGATTCTGTTTGGCCCTTTAAATATGGCGGTGAATTATGGATAATTTTCACTGGATTTGTAAGCGACAACAATGTTTTTATGTTGTTATGCCATATAACTCATTTTTGTTAATTCTGATTAATTTCATGACTAAAAAGTATCTCTTCGTTAGCTGAGTTGCTGTCATAACTAAAACTATTGAATGTTATACTTAAAATTCCGATGATGCTCGTTACTTTCCATGTATTGATAAAATGACAACCAGTTTCTCGTGAACCATTGGCATATGTATTTTGATTTTATTGGTTAAACTTACCGATGATTTAACTTACGTAGGCATCTTCATTAGTTCATATTCCTCAAATTTCTAACCATTTGATAAGGCTTGCTTGATTTATGCGAGTTCACTGTACTATTAGCTCAGAAAAAATTTCTTATTTAGTGCGGTTACAGTACAGTGGTCAGATTGGTTCTAACGTAGTTTTATCAGGCAACAAGTAAGTGCAGAACATTAAGAAAAAGCATTAGCTACACTTAACATCCGTTTCTGTAACGTTACTTGGTTACTAATAGCTGATGATTTTAAACTGTTTAGATCTCAATTTTTAACATTTTAATTTTAATTGTTCAAATAGTTAAACTGATAATGTATTTCGGTGATCGTGGACTTTAGTTTTTAAGCTATAATTAGCAAAATGTCATGCGAATAGATTACATCGCAACTAAGCCCTTCTGTAGGAAGCCTAAATATACTCATATTCGCTAATTCAGAGCAATTGTCTTGAAGTTCACAACTTTGTGTCTTGAACTTAATTATTCTCTTCATCTAACTTCTCAATAGTAACAGATTTCACCTCTGTTGATGTTGCAAATGGATTTGTTAAACATCAGACAACCACTGAGTACAGCACTTCAGAAAGATTCCAGTATTTGAAGACAATTTCTATATGCCTAAACCCCTACTTTTTTATTGAAATAGAGTTATCCCTAAAAGTAAGCAATTCTCCAGATGTTGTGATTTTAGAGCACATTATTTGAACATTCTAGGCTTGTTGAGGATGAGTTTCACATGCATCGGGTAAAGACGTACATATCAGACGTTATGAGCATGGGCTTTAATAGCGAAGCTATCGTTATGAAGAGACTGAAGAAAACCTAGACTGAATCCATTCTAGATAATGTTTAGGATAACACCAAACATTCTTATCAGAACTCACTTAACTAGCGAGATGTACGATCGTCTTAACCTTCTGTAGCAGTTTAGCACCAATTTTTGTTCTAAACTCGGTGAATCCAAAGCTCCTTATCTACTTAATAACGTTGTTCTACTTATGATGATTCGCATTCATTCATGTTTATTTCGTTCGATCTTGTAGAACAAAAAGAGAAAAGTTTGTTTAATAAAATATTACGATTTGGTATTTTTTGAAAATCTTTTTAAGACGGTTGGCAGTATTCTCTGTGCGATCATTACATACTTCATTAATACCCCGAATGCTTATTTGGTACAATTTACTGGTTGTGGTTGCGTGTGCATAGTTGGTAAGATATATTTGTCTACTAACTGTTTATGGTTTGTTGAAATACAGATTATTTTAGTGTTATACTGAGCAAACTAGACAAGATTCAAGAGATTGAATGATAATCTGCGTGCCTGTTGGTGAGCTATAGTAAGCGATGATTCTCCTAGACTAAATCATTATCAGAATAGGTCTGTTTGCACATAAACAAGCATGAACCGTAGGGCTGTTCATACGTTACTTGCTAATGCACTTTCCTATTCATTTTCGTATTCTTCCAGCGTCTGTTTAAAATGATCAGTCTTTACGAGTAAACAGGGTGTCTTGACCGAATATTAAACCATTAGATGTAGTGGTGACTGTCTCAGTCACTTTCACAGAAGGGAACAACAGTGTCCGTCGGAGAAATTTCGGGCAGTAAATGTTAGTCTAAAAACATTTGTATATAGCTCAAATGATTGTTATTCACTATAAAAATGAATTTTAAGTAAATCATGCATTACATTTCATGATCTTTTTATTCATAAGCACTTCCAATTATAAACAATTTTTAGACGACTTGAGAGGTTTACGTTACTATTTGGGAGTGCAATACTTCCATGAGTAATGCACAAATGTCTTAATTGTTAATGTTCTGTATTGTTGACGGTAGTTCATCCCCATTTATTTCTCGTGATCATTTTCAGGTTCTTAAAATATCCTAGAACTTTTATTATTTGAAAGCTAAGCTTGTATTTTACATGATATTTTTATGTATTCAATAACTATACCCGTTGTCGTCAATAATATTATTTGCGTTCTAAAAATTTACACAAATGAACCAATACTAGCGCCGAATTACATAATGTTGGATTACAACGATTTAGTATATCCCCCAAGTAAAATTAAACAGTTGGTCGTTGATCAGTATTTCGTATGAACTGTAATAAATTTCGTAAGAAGACAAGCGTCTATGTATATCAAAAAGATTATATACTGCTCACTGAACTTAAATGATCATACGGTAGTATGCTGTGTTGAGATTTCAGAAAGTTACTAGCACTAACGTTTGTCAATAACTATTAGATAATACAATTACATTACACAAAATAGTTTTTCTTTTCATTATATATTTTTACAGCTCTAATCGCCAGCGTTTGGATAGAAGACCGAAAAATGTCAAAGCGTTGTAAAATCTGCAATTGTTGCACTACTATGTGTAAATCTCTACGAGTTGGATATCATGGTATTGAAGGTACAGAGGCAATATTAGATGATACAAGTTGAAAAGAACAACAATTAAAAACATAGTAATGGAGCAATTTACAATTTATACATTTATTTATAAGCAGATTAGTTCTCTTTATTAAAAAAGGTACATTTGTCACAATTTTCGATAAATTAAGTAGAACATTTTGATTTTTAGTAAATAAGCTATTAAGATTTGTTGTTGCTTTGTTATTGTATAAACAAGGTGGATGTTTTTCCATTTAGAAATGTTCCTATCAACTTTCCCAACCTAAACATTTTATATGCAATTGTTCTGGTTTTTATAATTTATATATGTGAATGTGATTTTATAGCAAGTATTTTGCTACATTAATGTTCATTTTATTGTTGTGTGGTAAGTGAATATAAACTAAAGAAAAAGAGAAATATCATTGTTTCATTTGGACAGTTGTTTTCTATCAAAATACTGGTTTTAATTAGATTACAAATTTTTAGTACTGTCAATAGTGCGCAGTAATATATATAATTTCAGAAATAGTAATATAAAGAATCCAATAGTCTACCAACATCTCAGAATACCGAATCCGTTTTAATCACTCTTATACGTATGGAAACTAACAATAAGATCATAATTAACCACTCGAATGTTAAATATTTGTAACTAGCATTTTTGAGTCACACAGATCTAGTTCAGAAACATATCGTGATTCTACTTATAGGGTTTTAAGTATGATGTAATACAGGTTACGTATTTTAGTGTAGCAATATCAATGTGTACTTAAATTTTAATTTGTTTCAAGGTAGACGTTCCGCTCGTGTCTTTACTGTCTAGTTGTAATATAGGTGTTATGAAGCGTTAATTACAAAACGTTACTCCTGGAAATCAGAGAAGCTGTGAAATTGTAACTTCGTAGATTCGAAATGCTATGTTCACTACGTAGTACTTATTTATTGTCTTCATGCTTCCTGAACTCCTCCAGACTAAAATTCGTGTTAATTGTTGTTGATATTAGATGTGCTACGATCGGGCTATTTTAACCGTCTTAAAAATGAGGTATTTGCATTGATTAATTCAAGTTGATTGACAGTACTTGACTAGCAATTATGAGTAAGCAATGATGAGTTTGGTTATTACTCAGAGATGAACATGATATATTCCAATTTTAGTAACGACAGTTTCTGTCGTTTGTTATGTCAATACAACTTGAACTCCTAACGTTTTCATTAATACCAATACTACTTACGTTAAACATATCTTGCGATTCCATTGTAATTACACTTTCTATACAGTTGATGCGTTGAACTATTCATTTAGTTTATAATTTGTGAGGCTCGTATGAACGCTAATATTGTCTCTACGCGAATATATTTAATTTTCAGTTTTCCAACGTATAGTAATGTGTAGTTATCAAAACTTTGTTAGCATGAAAATATTCAGTATAAGATGCAAACAATTCTTAGTTTTATTATTTGTTAAGTATTGCTGTTATCAACTTCTTAAATCATTGATTTTTGACTTGAGAACATTTTTTTATCAGGAAAAGGAGTACGGTAAGATGTAAGTCCAGATGTTAATATAAAAAACTCTCAATTAGTAGGGTATCCTCTTCAAAATGTTTACTTTTCTTAGTTCATATTACAAATACTACTGTAAAATAATCATCTTACAAATCCACATTATTATGGTGCGTTGGAAGTAAGTTGAACTAGTGAACTTGTACATTAATCTTCACGTCAATTTTTCTTGATTTTGACGATTCTTATCTATCTAAAAATTGATTAGAAATCTATAAAATTTTACACTTTTTAACTCAATAACTATTTGTTTACAAAACGTTTGCCCCCCCAACGACTGATTAATTTTAGACAAACTGGAAAATTATTTATCTTAGTAAACGAATGCTTTTTTCTATGAATTTAATGTTGTTAACATTATCAATCTGGTAATACATCGTTCTTGATGGGATATAATAATTTAAGATTATATTCGGAAACAGTCATCTGAATTCATATCCTTTAGACGTTACATAATTAGTACTCTTTTTTACATTAGCTGATAGTCTAATTCATTCCTTCCGTAAATTATAATAAACGCAACATCTAAATATTTGCTTAATAAAGTCAAATTAAATTAACTTCTATAGTTTTAGCGGTTCAGAATTCTCATATTTATATATTTGTCAGTGTTTTAAAATTGGTAAACCTGAATAATTGAATATTGAGTAATTGAATATTTTAGTATCATTATTATTTCGTTTATAGTTGTATTTTAGACCATTTACTTAGAACTAAATCACACCAACTCGGTGCATAAAATTCATGTATATAAAGTAAATGGATTCTTTATCTATCAGGTCACAACTGAGTTTATTGAATTAATCCTATTAATCAATCAGCTGTTAAAGTGATTTCGTTTTGATGAACATATTACCTATCACGCTTCAGTGTATTAAGAAAAATGTACTTTTTTAAAAAATTTTGATGAGAGAAAGGTTCACGGTAAATGAGTTTACCTACTCTTTTTTCTTGATCGATCTGTATCTATTTACTAACGGTTAAACTAGAATCACTTGTTTGGTTACTTCATGTAAATCATTTGTAGTAGGGACAAATAAGTTATCCAAGCATTTCAGTTTCATGAATTACATAAAGATCAGATGTATTATGAATTGTTTCAGTTCATACTACCGCTCATTTTCTTTGTAGTCATGAAAGTAGATAGTTCGATGAAAAGTGTGTCAGTCATGATTTGCGAGTGAAATCTAAACCGAAATTTAACTTGTACTAGGTTTCGGTGCAAGTATGAAAAGTCAGAATATTCAAAATTATTTTATTTTAATCACATTCTCATTAATATAAGCCACAATGTGATCTCAGAGCTAGATTATCTTCAAAACATTTTATTTCTTACTGAATAAATTTTTATAAAACATTGATTATTGTACTCTTGTGTAACTACAAAGCGTTTCTATAGTGCCGTCCATTTTTGAAACGATTATCAAAACTTAAGTTTTCATCATGATTTAAGTGGATTGACAATTTGGGATCCTCGAAATCGTTATCTCAAGTTAAGCTCATTTGTTTATTTACGCAAACGAATTATCACTCATCCTCTTTTCCATAAACGCAATTTCGTTCTACTATTGCCACGCTTAACTACTTTTTTCCTATTGGGATTTTTCAAGGTACTCTGTTATCAACAGGTTTACTATAGAAAAAAACAAACAAATTATTACATTACAGGAGTAGCCAATAGGAACCTTCAGTGAGTTTACTTAGCACAACCATGCAATCTATAATTCAAAAGAATGCTGACGAGATAACGATTATCTAAGTATGTTAATGGTAGTCCATGTTGACAAAATACTCATCCAAAATGACTGTTTACGTAAAAGAATTTTTATTGCTGTCTGAAATTTCCCCTGATATGAGAACTGAATAGTTTAAATATGTTAGTGAAGCCAGCCGAACTAACTTCAAGTAATGAGTCATATATTATCTGAATAGCACATTCTACACCAACAAGTTCCACGAATTCAGAAACCTATATGCCTCATATGCTAACAACTCAAAACGATTAGAAAACATTCTGGTTAAATTCAACGTTCAGTTGACCAGAGCTAGGAAGCATACAAAAAAGTATATGAATACTTGGCGTTAAAAACTTCAATATGTTCAAAATTCTATAAAACCAATATTAAATTTTTGTCGTTTTTATGTCATATTCAATCACTGAAATCATGATCTGAAAAGATCAGAAATCGTTCCTGAATTTTCTCAATAATAAATCGATTAGAAGAAAACGATTAAGGCATCTGGATTAGAAAAGTATGATATATTGTTATTAAATTAATAAAAAATTTACTTGGTTGTATAAGATTTAAATCATGAACTACCAAGAAAAAATTGGAAGGTAAAGTGATTTAAATATATCTCTACAATGCAGGATGCAATGCCTGGTCGTATTTATAATTCTTTAAACTGATAGCGAACGTTGATCAAAATTTAGTTTTGAACACCATCTGAATATCATTTAAATCCTTAAGAACAAGCATCATCTCCGTTGGAGAAGTTAGTAGCTTTCTGAATCCATCGATGGCATGGAGTTTAAGGCGATAGAAATAGCGTCTGATTGTCTGTGTGAACAATATCAATGTACAACAGTTTTCACGATGTAATGGCTTTTTATTACGTGTACTTAACTTTTCTTCTATTCACTGTTTAAAACAACCAGAAAAACCATTTGACAGGAGAATACTTGTATTCTTGATTAGTTTTCATGCGACAACAGCATTACCTATCAACCTTAATTTAAGTACACTTTTATTTGTCCCTTAAAAGTCCAGATTGTAATCATATCGTGGACGTGAATACTTCCATTAACTGCTTACATTCTACTTAACTATGTAGACATGTCAATACTTACGTCTATTTAACTTCAACTAGTTTGTTAGGTTGTCGTACTCGTAACACACTTATTGTAGTCCGTTACCACGGATAGGAATTAGTCAATCTATACGTTAATGAAGAGCTCTATTTTGTTAATGTTATGAAATAGCTTCGAACAACGGCTATAACTACGAAACAATTCCATCTACTTGACGAATGACAAACAAGAAGGCTAATAAGTCATACGTTTTAGACTTAGTGTGATAAGAAATTCAGCTTTTATTACTGGTATAACGGATGGTTGACAATATTTTCCTCTTACACGTATATTACGATATCACGCCAATATGTTTATAAGACTAATCACGTTATATCAGAACCAGGATTTGCGACCCAAAATAGAGAATCAGATTAACACTAGAGAATACTTTATTCACCACAATTACAAGCGGTCGCACACAGTGATTCCGGAGTAGAAATCAATAATAAGAAAATTAAATATTTAATGGTCCATAAGCTGTGACTATTTGTCCACGCTCAACGACCAGTCATATTTTACTTTCACTACCACACATCGATTAACAACAGCTGAATAAACATTTCGGGGAACTATTTTTTCGGCAACTTTGCTTTCGGGCCCTATGGATATTTCGGTTAGAAAACGATGT